GTTGCTCACGATATTTTATATTTATTATATCATTTGTTTCCCCAATATTCCTGGGGGTAGTTTTTTTTAAAGGGCTAACAAGGTAAGAAGCAGGTTTATTCTCCCCATTTTACAGATGAGGAAACTGAGATATGGGGAAGGAAATGGACTTCCATTCATTCATTGATTATTTATTGAGAGTCCCTGCCTCTAGGGTTACAGTAACTGTCTGAATCCCTCTTCTCTTGGAGTTCCTAGTCTTATGGGGGAGTCAAATGGTTGTTTTTCAAATGCAAATCCAATCATGTCACATCTCTGCTTAAATTATTTCTGGTTTTTGTATTTTTCGTGTGTGTGTGTGTGTGTGTGTGGTTTTTGTTTGTTTGTTTTGTTTTTTAGCAAATTTCAGAATAAAGACTAAAATTCTCATCGTGGCTTACAATGTCACATGGTCTTACCCTATATCAACTACCAGCAACCTCATCTAATTTCCGTTCATGCTCCCACCAAAGCTTCAATTCTCTCACCCAAGAGGTTTTTATGTTTTGGGTTTTTTAAGAGTATTTTATTTCGGTTTTTATTTTTATCAAAGTTTTAAAGGCATATAGTTCAAACAGTTGATATTTTTTTTTAGAATGGTAATTAACCACATGGGCTCTTTTATTTAAATCAGCTTTTTTGGAAGTTTTTCTTTTCTTTTTTTTTTTAATATATTTTATTGATTTTTTACAGAGAGGAAGGGAGAGGGATAGAGAGTTAGAAACATCGATGAGAGAGAAACATCGAGCAGCTGCCTCCTGCACACCTCCCACTGGGGATGTGCCCGCAACCAAGGCACATGCCCTTGACCGGAATCGAACCTGGGACCCTTCAGTCCGCAGGCCGACGCTCTATCCACTGAGCCCAACCGGTTTGGCAAACAGTTGATATTTTTAATAACCTTGTTACAAAGACTAACAGCTCTCTTTTCTCCAGACTCAACCACTTTTAAGTCGCCAGCCGAATCTTGTGGCATTTACCTCCTTATCTCTCGATAACATTCTTGGATCGCCACATCTCTATTTTCCAGTGTTGAGCGCTGTCTATTGACTTCACACAGAGGAGTAGGAGGCTTCAGTTTTATTTATACGCCACCCCCTTCTGTTTCCACCCCTACAGACTGCCATGACTTCTCATTCTGAATCCAAATTTTATAATCAAAAGCAGATTTTCTGTGCTACAAATTATAGCATACAGTTATATTTATTTGTTCCTGGTTCCGAAACATCTGAATAAAAGGCTCAGCTCAGGGGGGAAACGGATAAAAGGCATTAACTGGATTTTTTCACTAGAAGGAATCTTAGGGATCATTTCTTCCGCTCTTTTAACTTCAGACATATTGATACCTAGGTTCAAGGTCAACTGGATGACAGGCAGGGGACTAGCAGGCAGTCTTCAGTCATTTCCAGGACTGTGAGAAAACGTTCAATGAAGATGAATTTAGGGCTGATCCCTGAGAGTCAGGAAGTTTAAACTGTTTGTCTGAAGGTACCCTTCCGGGCAATCCTGGCAGAAGTAATTGGGCTGGATCTTGAACCCAGCTCCTGCACTTTCCCTTTTTAATTGACATCACATTGCATCTCTATTTGTCAGACCAAGACCATCGCTAATTCTTGGAGCCTGAAACTATCTGGCCTGCCGTCAGCCTCACAGACCCATTGTAAGAGTTAAGTAAGTAAATACAGAGGTAGGCACTGTACCCTGAAAGAATGCCTGACAGGTGGTAAGCACCCGTAAATGTTAGCTGCCATCATAACGCCCCTCCTCTTCCCCTCCTCTAATTCCCTTCCCTTCCTCGTTGCTGACAAACCTTGGTTCTTGGGCCTGACAAATACCTTCTTTTCTGTGATCGCCCTCATGAAAGATTTCCACTCGATCTCCTTCTTGCCTTTGTCCACTCAGAGTTCAAACCTTTATCCTCTCGTCTAGTTTTCTTCATTTTTTTTTTACACCTGCCTCCCATTTGTAATTGGCTACAAGTGGCCCTTTGGGTTCCGCTGCCCCGGGGTGTTCCTCCTCGTCCGTGCCTCTCCACACCAACCATTCCGTTCCGAACCAATGCCAGTCCCTCCCAAGGAGTGCTCCCTGGGCCAGCAAACACTCTCCACACTCACAGAGAGAAGAGAATCCAAGAGCCCTGCCCCGAGGTGCGCCCACTCTTCGCCTGCCTTCTCGGCAGTGACAGCGTCCTCGTCTGGAAAGTAAGGGCACGGGCCAACCTCGCCCTGCAATGCTTGGGCTTAATAACTGCTTTTGTTTCATTTCAGATATTGGATCCTGCTCAGCTGGGAACCTGGGTTGTTGCACCTCCCACAGCAGCGGCCACAGGCTGCTGAGCCCCCTGACTGCCCCCTTCCTTTGGTTTTGTTTTCCTTCCTTGGAAAGAAAATAACATGAGTAGCTCCAGAAACTGTTGGTAGAAGACACTCTGTCTGTTGCATCCTGGGGAAGATCACAGCAAATGAAGACCGTCCTGCATCCGTCACTCTGAGAGTAGCCATTTGTGGGGGGAGAAGTAACTAAACACCTTCGTATCTCTACATCCACTCCCTGTAACGAAATCAGCAAAACCAAACTGTTGGCAAGACGTGGGCCTTTAGGGGTGACTTCTCTTCCTTTCTCCTGCCTCTCCCTTCTTGCCGCACCTCAAGATCAAGGGAGAGCTTCTCAAGATCGGAAATTCTGCTACATCCTGTCTCCTTAGACAAAATTTTCCACTCTCATTATTATTTCAAATACCCCCTTGCCCAATAAATGGCAAAGAAAGAAGGGATTAAAGAAAGCATGAAGGAAGAGCAAAGAGAAATGAAATATTAGATTAGCATCCAATATACGTTAGGCCTTTCACGAGTCACTGAATATGTGCTGTTCGGTTAATAATGGCAACAATCCCTCACGGTCACTGCTATTATCACTGCTCACGGTAGAGAAAAGGGAAGCTCAAGGGGGTTAAATTGTCCATTGTTATTGTCCACTGTCGTATTAGTCAAAGTAGGCTGTAGTCAAATTCTGCTGGATCCAAAGCCTATGCTCTTCCCCACCACC